AATGATCTGGTATTGTAAAATAATTTTTTTATATGGTGCACACCGGGTGAAGGATCAGTTGTGTAACATCGACGGTTTCTCCTGTTCATGATTATAGGATATTCGGACTTTAATCATCACCTGTTTTAAATCGGAGAAAAAATGTTTACATTATTCTACCGTAAATAAGTATTATCCCCCCTACACCATTTTTTTAAATGTCAGATTAGCGGAAATCGAGATGAGATCTTTAGCAAAATTATTCTCGCTAATCTGACATTCAAAAAAAATGGGGTAGAGGGAGTGCTTACTTACGGTAGAGTACGATAAATTGTTCTTTTTTTTTTACCAACTTAGTTGAAAGAAGTTTAATAAAAAATTTCAATACAAGAACGAAATATTAAGTAATTCATAGAACGACAAACTACGTACGTACGTACGTACGTACGTACGTATAAAACTGAATGCTTTTCATTGCCTAAATAATGCTCTATATATTAATGTATATCAAACAAAAACGAAATAATGCTAGTACAAATTCAGCTTATTATTTATTAATTAGGCATGGAAATTTATGATTTGTTTGTCACAAGATACAGTATAATAAAGAAAAATTCTAAAATTAGGAAGCAGTCTACCAAAGGCATAATACGTAGTTATAAAACATTGCGGTTTTTAATTTAAAAAACACAAAGTTATTAGCTAAGATTATCGAGTGATGAGAATCATACGACACTAAATTTTAAACAAAGTTTGGGTTTAACCGAATTTAAATTTACTATGTAAGATATATGAAAGTTTTTATCCGAGTTACAATTATGGCTGGTTAGTGCATAACTCGTCGTTTAAAATGGTTATATAGAAACTTATATATATATAAATATATATATCTTTTATAATAGAATTCATTCTTTTTAAAAACTTTGACCAAAAAGAGCATAAGAATGCTAAGTTCTAATTCGGATTATTTTAAAATTTTTAAAAAAAAGTTGACAGCTAAAAAAAATTTATTGGCTCACACCCATATTAGCATAGATTAAAATGTATCATCGTTATATGATTAATAAATTTTAAAACTAAATTCATATAAATAAAAAAAAAATAAACAAATAAATAAATAAATTATAAATTGGTCCAAAGTAAATATATAGTTAGTATCGGTATATATCAAGCAGTATCGGTATATCATATATAAAATATTTGATTATCAGGTTTTGGACCGGATGAACCAAACCTAGATTAGATTCAAGAGTTGACTAGATTCAAGTTAATCACAAGTATCGGATTTATAAAACTGTTAATCACAAGGTATTGGAAGATGTTGGAAGGTATCGGATTTTTATATATTAAAAATATGTAAAACCGATCAAAACCCCTTGAAATGAATTAAATTGAAACCCCCTTGAATTGTTTGAATTTGCTTGAATTGCTTGATAAACAATAGTGATAAGATTAAGTTTTATTTAAAATTTAAAAAATTTATTAAATATCGTACATATATATTATATATTTATATAGATTAACATTATCACATGAATTTTAAAATTTTCATACGAGGCATAGATACAAAGGAATGAAATATTTACAAAATAAAGATTGAGTAAACATTTTTATTCGAAAGGATTTGTTTTACCATCCTGATGGTATGCTTCAGAATCCCTCTTTCTTTCATGTTTATTAATAGAAGCCAATCGTTTTACGGCATTCTTGACTTTTACTAAAGAAGTATTTCGTTTGAGAGGTTGTTTCTCGGTTGAGATCTGTTCATTTTCTTGGTTTGATAAAACAGTAGCCACTTGAGAATATGGTTCTTGTGAATATAATTCTTGAGTAATAGTTTCATTTTCATTTTCATCATTTCCTCTTGATAAGTTTTCTTTACCCATTCTTGGTAATTCTAAGTCATCGTATGTTCTTTGCTCAACAAAGTATGAATTATCTTTTTGTAGTTTATCATTATTATTAATATTATTAATAATAATATTATTATTAGGAGTTATGAAATCAAAATCGGGTGTCAACGAATTAACAACGGGTTTACGAGAAGAAATACGATGACGAAGGGTAGAAAATTTTTTTGATGCCACCCTGGTGAGATTGTGAAAGGACTTATCGGTAACAAAATGGTCATGTCCTCTGCTATCAACTCGAGTAGCCATTTTATGAATTTTTATTAAAAAGCGGGTGAAATAATTTATAATATGATGAATATGATTGAATATACAAGCTAGACTTCTTATTTCTATCTTTAAAATATAGAAATTTTAAGTTGATTTTTAAAAAAGGGAAGGTAAAGAAATACGATCTTTTATAGTTTTTTTTTAACAAGGTATATCCGTAGTCTGATGAATCATTGATTAATTGTATTTAATTGTATCGGTATAAAAAAAAAAAAAATACAAACCAATTTAGTCGGGTTGCATGCGTTACTTTTTAGGTAAGATAAACAATTACAATAGAAACACATTTAGTAAATGTTTATTACAAATACAAGAATTTTCTTTGATTGGTATACTTGATTGATATGGTATCTATGTATATATATGGGTATAAGATATATTATTAGTATCATTATATCATTAATGGCACTTTTTTATCATTTTTATTAGGAGATGAAAGTTACTGAGAAAGTTAAACGAATGTTACGAATGTTGAAAGATGATATAAAATTCCGAATATTCTTATTTTGTACTTACGTATATCGATATATGCATATATTAAAAGTAGTGTCATTCTCATGATTACCTTCACCCCATAAATTCTAGGATGAATTCAAGGATAAATTGTATTTACCAAACAGTCTCATGTTCGAGAAACATAAATATACGTACGACGTACATACGCGCACAATTCACACATTTCACAAGGAGACGAAACAATAGTACGTTTGTTTTCTTCTGAAAGCCACGTATTACACTAATTACGTATTACACTAATTATCACAGAATTATTCCAGTCATTAAAAATAAGTTCCTCCATATGCGTTTTTTTGTTTCACTTTTTTCTTAAATTAGTTATTCGATATGCACAGGTTGGACCACTTTTAATGTTAGTTTTTGTTACACATATTCAAGGATTAGATTGTAAAATTTGTAACCCGAACATTCTCGTGAATCAATGATTGTGATTTACTTTTAAAGTTCACAAATGAAAAAAAACGTTCATCAAGTGCATCAAGCAGCATCAAGTATCATCAAGTATCGGTATTTTAATGTCCACAAAAAAACATAACCGTTTCATTGGAAATATTATTATGCAATGTTAAAAAAATAGACTCAACAATGAACCAACATACATCAACTTGGGATTTGGTTGGTCGATGCAATTTTAATTTGAACATCTTCTTAAAAGATGCTTATCCCTTATAATTAATTATAATAATTATAATTAATTATAACAATATATAATTAATTATAATAATTATAATTAATTATAACAATATATAATTAATTATAATAATTAATTATAACAATATATAATTAATTATAATAATTAATTATAACTAATTACCAAATGCATATTTTTTAATTTATCCAAAATTTCATATTAATGAATTCGCCATATACCTATATCATATAGCTATATCAAGTAGTTTATAACTATATCAAATGATTTATTGTAAGTTTATTTTTTTCTATAATTAGTCTTTATTATGCTTCACTATGCCAAATGTAAATTAAAAATACTGTACATGAATCTTCAGAAAATAGAAATCGGCCGTATTCTCATCTATTATGCTAAAAATTTGATTATGGCTCATTTCTTTGTCATTTCTTTGTGAAGGTTGGTATTGACTCACTATCAACTGCTGCTATCGGCTTAGACCGCTTAGTTGATTTGCTAATTTTAATTCGAAATCTACCTTTGACCCTGCTTGTGTATAATCCTGCTTGTGTATAATCCTGGTTTTTGTATAATCCATAATAAATATCGGTAATAACAATTATCCGACCCAGATGAGTACTTGAATCACTATTCATCATTATCACTATCGCTATGTATACAACTATTCTCCTACCTTTTAATTTACCCGTCAATTAACTTTAATAATTCTAAATCTAGTTGAATGCATGATTGTACGTATCCGATTGCAGGGTTGTCTAAAATTCCGATGTCGAGTGGCTGAATGATAATGATTTTATCATTTGATAGCCTGAAATATACGTACCTATTTTATTATTTGATATCCTGATATATACTTATTTTATTATTTGATATCAGAATTTCAGCCTATAATCCTTATAATATTCTTGTGTAAAGCGAAGGTCTTCCTATTCTATGTTTGCATGCTTGATTAATATTTGTCCAATTAAATCATCTCATATTTCAATTCCCTTTTCTCACGTGATCGACTTCGTCTACTCTTCATGTAGCACATTACATACGCATGTAACGTACGTACGTACTTGATCAAAATAATTTACATACATTGCATCATTATTCATTAATAAACATTACTCAGATTGTTTTCGTCCGGTAAATATTTGTTCCAAGTGGCACTAGATCACTAGACTCGGCCTCAAAACAATATACAGGTCGGCTGTGCTTTATTGTACAACATGACATCATGGAGTGGCCAGAATTAGGTACTCAAGCGCCATTGGGATACGTAGCAAACCGAGTTTACTACACTTCTGATTGGTTCTACTAATTATTCACATATCGGAATGTCTATGTTATTAATCAATTTGATGGTACTCCGATAGTGAAGTGTGGGCGAACCTAGCATTGCTAAAAATATAGCTAACGTCACTTGCAATGTACTGTATAATCGTAAAGATACATAAACAATTGAGTATGTCCATCGCAGAAATAGAAATTTATGTGGCTAATAATTAGTCAGATGTCATGGTCATTAGGTTTCGGTTGTGATCAGATCAGATCAGATGCTCATCGCCATCATCGTCATCATTGTTATCATCGTTATCG